AAGATAGATAGATAGATAGATAGATAGATAGATAGATAGATAGATAGATAGATAGATAGATAGATAGATAGATAGATAGATAGATGTTAGCATGATTCTAGCATGAATTAGCATAATGTTAGCATGATTCTAGCATGAATTAGCATGTTGTTAGCATGATTCTAGCATGAATTAGCATGTTGTTAGCATGATTCTAGCATGATTTAGCATGTTGTTAGCATGATTCTAGCATGATTTAGCATGTTGTTAGCACGATTCTAGCATGAATTAGCATGTTACTAGCATGATTCTAGCATGAATTAGCATGTTGTTAGCATAATTCTAGCATGAATTAGCATGTTACTAGCATGATTCTAGTATGAATTAGCATGTTACTAGCACGATTCTAGCATGAATTAGCATGTTACTAGCAAGATTCTAGCATGAATTAGCATGTTACTAGCATGATTTTGGCATGAATTAGCACGATTCTAGCATGAATTAGCATGTTGTTAGCATGATTCTAGCATGAACTAGCATGTTACTAGCATGATTCTAGCATGAATTAGCATGAGACTAGCATGATTCTAGCATGAATTAGCATGTAACTAGCATGATTCTAGCATGAATTAGCATGTGATTAGCATGATTCTAGCATGAATTAGCATGTAACTAGCATGATTCTAGCATGAATTAGCATGTTGTTAGCATGATTCTAACATGAATTAGCATGCTACTAGCATGATTCTAGCATGAATTAGCATGTTGTTAGCATGATTCTAACATGAATTAGCATGTTACTAGCATGATTCTAGCATGAATTAGCATGTTGTTAGCATGAATTGGCATGTGACTAACATGATTCTAGCATGAATTAGCATGTTGTTAGCATGATTCTAGCATGATTAGCATGTGACTAGCATGATTCTAGCATGAATTAGCATGTGACTAGCATGATTCTAGCATGAATTAGCATGTAACTAGCATGTTTCTAGCATGTTGTTAGCATGATAGATAGATAGATAGATAGATAGATAGATAGATAGATAGATAGATAGATAGATAGATAGATAGATAGATAGATAGATAGATAGAATGATAGATAGATAGATAGAAGCAGTTTATAGATAGATAGATAGATAGATAGATAGATAGATAGATAGATAGATAGATATAGATAGATAGATAGATAGATAGATAGATAGATAGATAGATAGATAGATAGATGGTGTGCGAGCATGAGTCAAACAAGCCAACCCCCACCTCTCTACGATGTTCTGATGCTGAGATATAGCTGCTGTTATATCGTTGCTAGGTTAGTCTGTTTTGTTGCTATGGAGTTGATTGACAGCTTAGACTGATGATGTATCAAAGCTTCTTGCCAGTATGAACAGTTAAAAACAACCCCCATGTCTCTATCACACTGCAGCATGACAATATCAGTCTGAACCTCTTTAATGGCAGTCTATGGGACAGTTGCTAGGGTGCAGTATCTGGTTGTTAGGGTGTGGCTAGAAAGTTAAAATGACATCAGTGATTGGCTGCTGGCTAGACTGAGTTAAATGAGCTCAATCATTAGTCTGTAGGACAGTCTGATGCAGAGTTATGAGCTCACAAAGTTTGATCCCATGCAAAGTCAATGAGAGTATTTTGCAATGGAAGTCTATGGGACGGTTTCTAGGGTCCAAAAGTGGTTGCTAGGGCGTGGCCAGAAAGTTTAAAGGTGGTCAGTCATTGGCAGTTTGATAGTCTGAGTTAAATGAGCCCAGTTAGAAGTCTGTGTGACATTCTGATGCGGAGTTATGAGGTCACAAAGTTTGATCCAATGTTACGTCTATGGGATTTTTCCGACGGTCCCGGGACGTTTTTCGGAAAACCGAAAGTCGGATCAGTCGGAAAGGATATAGCAACTCGAGTCAGAATAGTTCGGAGGTCTGACCCGAGTTTGATGGTCATAGCTTGAAAGGCCTAGGACGAGATAGAGTTTAATTTTTAGTCTCAGAAGAAGAATAATAATAATATTAATAATAATAAGTTTAATAGGATAACAGTAGTCTGGCTTGCTACACAAGCCAGCCTAATAAGTTTAAGTGAGATAACAGTATGTTGGCTTTTCAAGCCACCATAATTACATTAATATCAGTCACTCTATCACTGATGAAGAGAAAATCAACATGCATAGAAAGTAAAATAATTAATATTCACTGATTAAAAAAAAAGTATCACAGATTAAAAGACTAATATAAATTTCATTCATTCATTCAATTTCTTTTCGGCTTAGTCCCTTTATTAATCTGGGGTTGCCACAGTGGAATGAACCACCAACTTATCCAGCATATGTTTTATGCAGCGGATGCCCTTCTAGCTGCAACCCAGTATTACGAAACATCCAGACACACTTATTCACACACACATTTATACACTACAGACAAATAAGCTTACCAAATTCAGCCATAGCGCATGTCTTTATACTTGTGGGGAAACCGGTGCACTTGGAGGAAACCCTCACGAACACTGGAAGAATATGCAAACTCCTCACACAAATGCCAACTGACCCAGCTGAGGCTCGAACCAGCGACCTTCTTGCCGTAAGGTGACAGCACTACCCACTGCGTCATCCTAATATAAAGAATATCAAGCATTATAAAATGCATTTATCACAGCATATACTGAACAGAAAACAACATACGCACCGGAGCACAACGAAATGTTGAAGTGTCTCGCTTAACAAGGCTGGCAACATGAGAAGTGCTGCTGTAAAATCAATTCCTGGAACATAAGATGAAACAAATATGAAGGAATCCATACAAAGCTAGAATTGAATAATATTAATCAAGTTGAGAAAGTTTAGAAAGAGTACCTTAGAGTCAGGTCCATAGCATTCTTCAGTTGATCTCTCATCTTTCGATGAAAACCTAGAAAATAATTTTAAACATGTGGGTGTACATTTATTGTTGTTCGTAAGTAAAAACCTACAAATTTAAAATAGTATGTAAGCCATTAAAACCATGGTATAGATAATGAGACATACTTACATCTTGTAACTGAGCCATGCTTTCATTTGACATGCCTTCATTGGTCTGATGCTGTTAGGCTGCATTCTGTTGTTCAATCTTGTCCTGAAAGACAATTGGAAACTTCAAAAACTTCTGGAAAGCAATAAGATAAAGCAATAACTATTTATTTATTTTGAGATATTAATAAAATAGGTAAAATAGCTCAAGGTACCAGTTTCAGAACAGATGAGACAAATTATTACATTAAAGAACAAAGTATAACTTAAAACGTCGATTTATACAACATGGTATGTTAATAATTCTACATTAACATAAGTATAACGTTAAACGATAGTAAAGCACCAACAATTCTGGACATGAGAGTTTGTGAACACTCCTCAACATTAATGTAACTTAAGACATTGAAACGAAGATATGTAACTTACGCACGCCACGTTTGTAACTAGCCACGTTTACATAATCAGTCACTTTGTCGGTGACAAAATTGTGATTTTTCTTCACAAAATGGCGGTGTAACTTAACTTATATAACCGTCTAAAATTACATTTCAGCGGTCAACCGTGGCTAGAAAAATGGCCTCAAAATATAAAACATTATCGATAATTACAAATTTCCAGTATTAATAACAAAAGGTTTTATATCAAGGTAACGTTATATGAAGACTTTAGTCGCGCGAGCTCCGGGCCACACCGCACATTACTCACGGGTCACGGCCCGATTCCGGTGCACGGATACGGCAGCGTCGCGCTTCTGCCGCCGCAGCTGGCCCGAGTGTATTTTGCTAATTGGGTTGCGATTATATTCCGCCGTGGCAACACTAATTAATAAAGCAGTAACGTAACGTAAGATATAAGGCGCGAATAGGTAACGTAGGCGACAAAGGGAACTTTTACACCGAGAAAATTAACAGCATATAGTATTCACCGTCTATAACGTTATGTCCCTCGGTGACTTCGATATCACATTGTATTAACTTATTTAATAAGCTGCAGACATCTTAGCAAACTCCATCCTGCAGGCCAGCCCGGAGCACTTAAAGCGGGGGAAAGCCGAGACCCGAGAGTCAGACAAAATCAACAGAACACGGCTTCACATGTAAAAATGAGACTGAAAATATATCTTTAATACATTCTTACCTGAAAAGTGAGGACTCCAAAATAGACTTTTCTTTGAAAAGCGTGCGAAGTTCTGTGTAAACAGCCAGCATACACTACCGACCGCCTCAGTAACAAACACTACTATAACGTCTCAACAAGCCAAATTCTTAAAGAGACAGCAACATCACCACCTGTATGAAGATGCTGTCACTCTGCATGGTTCTTATTCTACATCCCATAAACTAAAGGGTCTTAAACAGTAAGCAAAGACCAGTATTTACATTTTTATTGATTAAAATTACATTCAATTATAAATTAAATTATTAAAATTTTTGAGAAAAAATGTAATTTAAATACATGAAAAAAATTTAATTATTAAAATATTTAATTCAATCAATTTATTTATTTATTATATTTTTAAATTATGTATTTTAGTATTAATGTTTAGTATTAATACATTTAAATTAGTGTTATATAGTGTCTTGATCTTATCATGAGCTGAGGGTACAATTTTGTTCCTATAGGGAAACAAAATATATAATTGTACCTTTAAAGGTGCCAAATTGGTCCTTTACGGTACAATTTTGTATCCAAATGTGCTATAAAAGGTACAAAAATGTACCTTTCAAACCTAAATCTGGACATTTGTACCTTTATAGCCCATTTGGGTACAAAATTGTACCCTAAGGACCAATATGGGACCTTTAAAGGTACAATTTTATATTTTGTTCCCTCTAGGAACAAAATTGTACCCTCATTGTACCTTTTTTTTCTGAGAGGGGGAGAATTAAAACCACTCAAGAGATTAATACTTTTTTCCGATGACTTTGAAGTTAAATTCTAAACACATATTTATTTAACATATATACTAACTTTAAGTGTATTGACAAAAAAAAGACAAAAGCTGTTTTAAAGTAGTTCAATACTGGTTTTATTTAGTAAAAAGTGGTTAAACAAAGACATCGAGTTATTGTGGGATGTTACTTTACAGCATTTATTTACAATTGACTAAAACATTAACCAGACATTGACAAAGTTTCTCTCACACACTCAAATATGAAAGTATTTGTGCACACATTCCTGCTGTCATTGTCTGTCATCTGTTGACTGTAGTTTATCAATAAACCAAACATCGAGAATGCTGTTTTTTCAGTGACGCAGAGAAACTGAAAGACAAAAAGAAAAGCAAATATTTGGATTTGCCATTCAAATCTCATTGGCATCTGTCTACAGTTTGGTTGTTTGTTCATTTATTGTTTGAACTGAATCAAGCTTTGGTACAGATATATATATATATATATATATTATCTTTTCTATTATTTTCCATTATTATGTTAATATTTAGCTTTATACTATTCATTCAACATATACCCAACATGACGAGGCAGAGCATTTATTGTTGTATTATATTTCTATGTTACATCATATTATACAAAAACACAATACAACAATGATCTCTAAGCTCTCTTAGTGATCAAACTGGTTCATAAACACACAGATGCATCTCATTTAGTTTGCTGAAGCGTCACCTGATGCCATTATTTAAGGTTTTATATAAACTAATGAGTGGTGTTATTATGGTGACACACGTCTCCAGGATGCAGGAAATACAAATTTAGTTCCAACCCCAATAAGACACACCTGGGCTAGCTAATCAAACTCTAAAGCTGCTGTCACACTAGAGTTTGTGTGTGCAAAACTCCTGTCATAAAAAAGTGAGCGATTGCTCCATGTTTTAAATTTCTGTCCAGAGAGGTCATGTTTTGATCCTCGATTGATCTCACGCAGTCAAGTAATGCGATTTCGCAGGTCAGAGTTCACCAAGCTTGAACTTTGCACCGCAGCGAAATGTGAAACTTAACGCATGACCCTGCGTTTCCGGTCTGACACATCCGTGTGCGTATGAATGGGGAGAAAAGAAAAGTCAAGTGTGAGCTTGGTATAGAAAGATTCATCCAGGTGTGTTGAGGCAAGTTAGAGCTAAAATCTGCAGGACACTGGCCATCTAGGACAGAGTTTGGGCACCCCTGGCCTAGTGTATTTAGTGAAATAACTAAAATATGAAGACATGAAGTGATTTATGATTATCTGCTAAAGAATGTGTACTGCATGTGTACTTCTTTAAAAAATCCTGAAAATACCATTATTACCAAACAGGAACTGATTTTTACTACCAAGAATCCCAGAAATACAGTAAATATTAATAATCATGACACCATGACCATCAACACATCAACATTGGGTGTATTTAGTCTATATACATTTGTTTTGTTTACACACGACACATTGCACTTCCCACATATTCCACATAATGTCTGTGATCCATGCAAAATACCTAGTTTATAGCTTGTTCATATTTGCATTGGCCTGATTTGTTTGGCCTTTATTCTTTATAAGCCATAATTACCAAATAAAACCTTTGGAATATTTACACTTTAAACATGGAATAACTTACAATGCAAGTAAGAGTTGAACAGTTCTTCAGAGCATTTTGTTTTGTACGCATAATATTACTGCTGTATTGTGTCGAATTGTATGGACTAAGGTTTGTTTTCATATTGATAGGACTGATTCAAAATTACATAGATGTTTGTCTTGTTTAATTTGTAAAGACATGTACTCTCCAGGTTGCTGCAGATGCCACAAATGAAGAGTCAACACCTGTGTGTTCCAAATTCTGCTGCTGAGGCTCCAACAACCATCAAGAGACTCAAAAATACAGACATTTAAAAGACCTGAAGGATCTAGAAAAACAGATCCATCACAAGATGAGTGGAAAAGAATGGCATCAGTCAGGACATTCATCTTGTATTAAAGAGCAACCTGATGTTACAGTGCATTTTATGTTGATCTAAACACCAGTGGATGAAAATAAACAGAGGTGTGATCGTGGTTAGTACTTTATGAGCCTGTCCACTTTCATTTATCAAAACCCACAGCCTATTCACACAAAGCCACAGCAAATTGACCTAATTCTTTACCATTACAGGATGTTTTGTTGAAGTTCTCTACCCACTAAGTTCACTATATAGATTAGAACCTTGCTGTCTGAAATCGTATTTGGGATAAGCACAGTGTTCTCTTAATAGATTCTAACAAATACCCACAGCATTAAGCACAGTGGTTAATGCTTTTTTAGCAAAAATAATAGCGTTATTTTCATGTTATTATGCAAATTGTACAAACTATTTTACAATATTAAACTGAAAGGTCTGAAAAGGCCCATACTTACATTTACCCAAATACTCTCCCAGTAATGTTTCTAGGTACAGGTGAATCTCTGTTAATGAGCAAAGCACTTCTCCATTGCTGAAATAATTCATGTTTATGTTTGATGTTAAGCTGTTCACCTGGACATGCAGCTGTCAATAGATGTACATTTTATTATATGATAAAGAATAAATTGTTTAAGGCTCTAATGTATGAAAGAGTTTTTTATGTTTAGGTATAGCTGCCAGTAGAAAAGTGTTTATTTTATAATTCTGATAAGATGCCAGCTATAGAGCATGACATAAGCATTCTTTGTGTATGTGTGGGTTCTTTATTGACGGAGACGATGAGCTAATTTTCACCTCTGGTTATCCTGACCTTATGTCTGACCTTTTTTTGCTTGATGCATAAGTAGTCATTGGAGATTTTCTTTAGAATTGTATGCATAAATGGGGAATTAAATGAATATGAAAACGTCTGCATTCACTTTCTTTCCATTAAAGATGTGCGTCGATCATAACGTCTGAATCAGTGCAGCCTATTATGCATGCTGGTCAGGACACCTTCCGTATAAACTTATCCCAGATCAACTTCTGCTTTTGGGGGTGGGGTTAAGAGAGTATAAAGAGAGTGTAAAATTACAGTAATTAAATGATGGAATAGCAAAAATGTTGTAATAATGTTGCTTGGAGTTGCATATTATATTAATAAGCACAAATCCAGTCAACATTTAGAATGGATGATCACTGGACTAAGTCCACAAATTCCAGCAATAATTGAATCTTTTTAAAGACAGAATGAGGTTTGACTTTGTGTAAAAATTAATATTCAGGTAATGTGTCTTCTGTGTGAGAATAAACATTACTGATTGTGAGCAGCAGTATATATCTGCCATACATGTTGAATATGCAAGAGAGAATCTGATAATGACTAATTTCTGATTCTATTTATATGTAGTCAAATGGCAGAGGGCAAGAATATGTGTATAGCATAAGTATTCATCTCAAAGTTTCATTTAGAAATTATTCAGAATTATGCATAGTTGTATGCTGATGTCACCACTGAGGACCAGGACCATGACCTATCCTCAAAAGCACCTCACCCTCCATTTATTTATAATATTATATATATATATATATATATATATATATATATATATATATATATATTATTTTTAATATTACTATACAATTAATTCTAAATAAATAACAGAAATTTGTCCTAAATGTAACTGGAACACAAAGACACAACTGTCTGTGGGCTGCACGGAAGCGCAGTGGGTAGCACTGTCGCCTTGCAGCAAGAAGGTCGCTGGTTTGAGTTACGGCTGGGTCAGTTGGTGTTTCTGTGTGGAGTTTGCGTGTTCTCACTGTGTTGGCGTGGGTTTTCCTCCACATTCCAAAAACTATAGGTAATTTGATGAACTAAATTGGCCATAGCATATGAGTGTGTATGGATATTTATCAGTATTGGGTTTTAGCTGGAAAGGCATCTGCTGTGTGAAACATGCTGTATAAGTTGGCGGTTCATTCCGCTGTGGCGACCCCTGATTAATAAAGGGACTAAGTCGAAAATAAAATAAATGAATGAATGAATCAGATTTATCTGTTGTCTTTTTAGACCTGAATTGTGAATTTAGGCCTAATCTTACCTGCCTGACTCTTCATCTCTCCTTTCTGCTTCATAGCATTTTTAGTTAAAATAAGATCATCATTATATTGTTTTAATTTTTGTTTTGTCCACTTGCAAAACTTACACAGGTTTCATAATGCATAATCGCTACGTATTTTTTCGACGTGTCCCAGAGTTGCAAAAACTTCTTTCTAAGTATTTTGAATGTACACTTGCTTTATTAAAAATAAAGAATGTCCAAGACAAAGCTAATAAGTGTCTTAGGAGTATATGTACACTAGCAGTGGAATTTACTGGAATTCACCTGAAATCTTGCCTAGGGCTCCAAATTGGTTAGGGTCGGGCCTTATTCATGAACAAGCTTGATAATCGCGCCTGCACGCCTACTTTAAAACACTGCAGCAAAGCGATCTTTGAATGGATGAAGATGTCGGCCTCACAGAAAATAAAACTTGATAAAGAGAATAGACAGTTCAAAGTTGAATGAACAGATAAGTATGTGTTTATTTTGCCCCAAGCCAGCTCGAATCAGTGACCTTGCTGTGAGGCGATTGTGCTATCCACTGTGCCACCGTGCTGCATCTTATGAATGTTTATTAAAAACAAGTAATGTAATATCAATTGTTTCATACCTTTGACCTTAATAAAAAAAATCAGAATTGGACCTTTTAGAACCCCTGTTTTAGGCTATGACTAAAAGGTGGACCCAGATCATGAGCCTAGAAATCTCCACTGGACTATTTTTTCAGTCTGATTCCCGCTGGGTTTTATTTCGCACCCAATCGCCCCTGCTATTTATTCACTCTTTGTTTATTTAGAACAAATTTCTTCTGACTGTTAATTCCCTGTTAAGACAAAAGTGAAGCCGAATGGTCTCTCTTTGCTGAACCTTTATGTTCTGTGCAGATCTGGGTCAGTTGGCATGAATATGGTTTCACACTGGGGCTGATAACAGAATTTTCTGGAATTAATAGTAATAAAAATGCATTTTTACCTTGAAAATAGGAGGATGTATGTAGAATTTTACATACGTTTGACATTCTCATGCCACTTTCTCACATTTCTTTTGCTTAAATTACGCTTACATTACAAGCGTAATTTAAGCAGAAGAAATGTGAGAAAGTGGCATGAGAATAATGTCAAACGTATGTAAAATTCTACATATATCCTCCTATTTTCATTTTAATTCAAAGCAAGCTTACAAAAAATACAAGGCATTTTGTAAAAATGTATCAAAAGTTTAAAATATTAATTTAACAGTTTAATTGTTAATATAAAATATATTTGATTTATTATTATTATTTTTATTTTTTTTACATATAGG